CCCCTAACCTGTCAGTATCTTGGATATATGGCCTGTCTGTCTGTCTGAGAGCCAACAATGATTAAATGATAAATGGTAAATGGACTGATTCTTATATAGCGCTTTTCTACTCAAAGCGCTCTGTCATGTCATAACATGTCATAGTTTCAGGTTTCTGCAGTGTATTTGTTCTGTTTGATCCTTGTTACATTGGCTGTGTTTATGGTTTTTCCAGCCTCCGGCCTGAACGTTTGTCTTCATGTGTTAGTTTTTCATGTTTTTATCATTTCCTGTTTTAGTCTGTAGGTTCGGTTTTTTTCTGTCTTTTTCAAGCCTTTTTCCTGCTTTTGTTCCTCTCATTTTTGACTGAAAGCCCCATCGTCATTACTCTCACCTGTGTTTCATCGTATAATTAGGCCCGCCAATTTAATGCAGTTTCCTTGTATTAAAATATCTCTGGGATTAAATGTTAAGTTAAAGGTAGTAACTTTCTTTAAGCTGACAGAAAGAGTCTGACCCCTTTGAGATCAGGTACGCTGTATGTGACCCACAGTGTAGTATAAGTTTGACATCCCTGGTTTAGATCCAGTTTGTAGTCTGGATGGGAGGAGTCATTTATGGTGTTGTGAGCCTTCTTCGAGCTGTTATTCCAGGGTATGTTGAGAGTGGAGGAGAGCTGGGCATACAAGATGCCCAGCTCTCTGTGATGTGGACTCATAGAAGCTTAAAGATAGCACTAACAGCTGATTGTTGTACATGTAGGACCAAAGAAATTTCACAAACTAACTTGTTGCAACTGTTGCATCCTATCACACTATCACACTCAAATTCAGTGAGCTCTTAAGAACAACCTGTTCATTCACAAACAATATGTTATAAAGGGAGACTGCATGGCTTGGTACTACATTTTACACACCTATGGCCACAGGACTGAAAACATCTAAATTCAAAGATTTAAAGAGTTTGGCCTAATACTTTCTAACTAAATGGTGACACCGTCACATCTTTTGTAAACATCCAGCTCTTTCTTAGAATGAAGAGCAACCTGTTTATGACCACATGGTACAAGGAAATGTTGCCTCTTTTATACACTTACCGAAATCCACATTGCACATTCCAGTCATTGTTTCTCTCTTGTTATGTAATGCCATTCGATTTTTTTGTTTTTGTTTTTTAAACCATCTGGGTTCATGTTGCTTAAGCAAAAGTTATTTTAGTGATACAACAACAAAGCAGATACTGTATGCCATAAACAGTATAGAGTGAGAATGCATGTCAATGTTATTTAAAAAACACTACAAAAGGGTATGAATGTGTGTGTGAATGGGTGAATGAGGCATGTTTCATAAAGTGCTCTGAGTGTGCAAGTGGAGCAGAAAAGTGCTGTATAAAAAACAGACATTTATGTATTATTATGTATTATATAATTGTCCCTTTTTGTTTTATTTAAAATCTTCTTTCAGATGTAACTGTTTTCTGTTTTCAAGACCGCAACAAAACGAATGTCAAAAACTGACCACAGGGTGATATATCAAACTAAAACGTCTTAAATCCATTTCTGAGGCTGGGACAGAGGGTGCGTTGCATGTGGATTCATGAGCATGAGCCAGTAAAAATGTCACCACAGACTAAGGCACTGCAAACTGACAGAGCATAACAGAGATTTTTATACAGACACCTTTTGGAAAGAAGTTATTACTGCAACAGATCTCTCTAGCGATTGACTTTGGAGCTGTACATAGCTGGTTCCACGGTAAAAGGGTGACACCTATTGGTGAAAGTGGGTAGTGCAGCGGGTTCAGTACAGTTAGTAGAAAGAGAGAATTTGCTACTCTCCGGGCCATTTATAAAATAAGCACAACTTATGAAATCCAGTAGTTTTCAAATACAATGAGCTGCTGTGATATGCTGTGGCAAATAAAACCACTTTTGCTCTGTTTTGACGTATTTTCGTATGATCATTACGCACCACTTTGATGGAGTAATTATGTGGATGCCTAAATATTAAAAAAGCCGCCATAAGTGAGGTTGAACTGAGGGAAAAACTCACTAAAAACAATTATTACAGTGATTTTTAACAGTAGGTACAAAAATGCGTGATTTAAAATGACAGGTTGCGTGGTTGCTATGCGTCTCCAGGTTCTATTTGCATTGCATCTTTTGGTATAGTTCAGACAGATTTCACTCGGCGTGTTGTGCAAAGCTACAAGGGATTTCTGCAAATTTCTGCAAAAGTAAGACAACTTTCTGCTCAAGACTTCTTGCAGCCTTACAAGTGTCCAACTCCCATGTCACGGAGGAAAGCGACCCAGCAACCATCATCCATCATGGAAAATGTGAGATTTTATGACCGTTTTCAATAAGTTTTGAATATTTACTCGACGGCCAGAAAGAGTTCACTTTGCAACAGGGCAACATGAAAATATAGACGACATAAATGTGGATAAAAAGCATTAAAAACGTGCCTGTGCACGTGGGAGTTATACCTGCATGTTAGACTGTTGCACTGTAGCTGTAAACGGGTAAACTGTGCATAAAGTCATTTAAACTAGTATGTTACCTATAATAACGTTTTCTTTTGTGTGTATTAAATGATCTTGTGGCAGACATGTCACCAAAGATTGCAGCTGGGATAAAAATGTTCAGTCTTTGCTAATAAGTAGAGTATCTTACATCTCGAATTAACTCAAGTGCATAATGATCACCAGGCCTGTTTCTAGCTTTTTTGGGGGGGGTGGGCTGTGCATGTTCCTGATTGGGGGCCTTTATTTTGTATTTAAAACTAAAATCAGGGAATAAAACAAGTAAACACTGAGACTTTATTCACTGTAGAAAAGCTAATCCCCAAAATGTTTATTTACAAATATGCAAGCAATGTTCTGCAGCATCATCTGAATTTTCAAATGTACACACACTGTCACATGTTTACAGGAGCCACATGTAACTGTGATCATCTTTAAAATCCTCAAAGCTTCTGCTTTTGGGCTTTTTAAACTAAAGTTTTAATCTCCTTCTTCATTGTGGCTTATGCTACAATTATTCACCTGACAAGACAGTCACCTCTGGGTAGAGGTCCTCATTACACCACAGCCTAATGATGATCTTGAACTCATTACCCCCCACACACAAGGCAGGGCTCTCCTATTATTGCAGCTTGCTTTTCTTTATATCCTACACGTAATTTTAAACCATATAAGTGCCACACGTGACCAAGCTTAGCCAGTTACAAAGGTATTTTGTGCATCTGCATTGTTCAAAAACGGCAATAAGCAGCAATGATTATAACAGAAATTAGAGTTTAATACAACATGGACTTTGGTGTTTGTTTAGCTTATGCAAATTATTATTTGACATGTCATTTGGGGGTATGCAGCAGTGAAGCTCTAACACGACGAGCCCATAAGTTGACACGTCTTTTATTACACTGACCTTGATGCATTGTCCTGGTTTTAGTTCTTATGATTTTATGTGAACATGTTGGATATTTTTTGTCATTACAATCACTGTGGACAAGTTATTCAACCATGCAAGTGGTTTAAGTAGTTTATGGACATATGAAAGGGTTTGTTATTTTTTAAATGTTTCATGAGCTACTAACTGATGTCTGCATTACTGTCATTTTTGTGTATACCTGCAGCTTACTGTGCCCGGTCACCTCAAAGACCATAATTATTGTAAGAGAAACACTGCATGCCAGGCCCGTGATGCAAAGAAACCCAGAGCCAGCAGGAAACAACCGTGCTGCAGCAAGGACCAGGTTGGATGTGTAAAATTTCAGGAACAGAATCATTTGAGGGTTTTGAAGTTTGGACTTCATTGTGGTTCATCAAATTTATATTTTTGTCTTGTTTGAAAAAAAATGAGGTCGCTATTAACTACTGACATTCCCTTGTGTGCTTCTGACCTTTCCCAGGTTGTTAATTCAACCCAGAGGCCCCGGCGCCGTGACAGAACAGTCAGTCAGCCCCGGAAAAGGAAGCGAAGCCCAGCATCCAGTTCTTCCCGACCTCCAAAGACCTCAGTGCCTCCCTCTGCAATCTCCCATGATGACCTGCCAGTGTCAAAAAAATTGCCCCCCAGACCCGAGCCATGCATTACCGACCACCAGCCAACCAGCTCCAGTGACAGCACTTTAAAAATCTACAACTTCTCAGTGGAAGATTATCAGCGAGTCTACCATGAGGTGGTAGATAGCATGCTGACGTACGTTTGTCTCCAAATGTCCTGTCACTTTTTTAAATCGCCAGCTCTAAAATGGTTACAGTATGGTTTTTGACCACATGCATCATTTTGATTGAATTTCTTCTTGCAGGTCCAAGCATGGCCGCAAACGTCCCTACAGTTTAGAGCTGGGGAGAAGCATTAAAAAAAAGCTGTGGGAGAGACTGAATCGTCCTATGGTGGAGACATCAACCAGCGAGGACGGACTTGAAGAAATTGACATTGTGTATGGGCAAAAAGTCAAAATCCCACAATATGATTTTGACATTTCGAGTTAGCCAAATCCTCAACATCCACCGAGCAAAAGAGCAAAGGAGAGGTGAATGTAGAGCAGCAGGGGCACTGCTACAAAACATATAACATATAACCCATTTTTAAACTCTGTTTACTGCAGCCTATTTAACAATATAAGCAACTATATAAAAACATAAAAAGAGATCTAGACATAAAAAAAACACGCAAAAAGTGATTGGCATACGATCACTTTTTGGCACATCAGTGCAGCGAGGTTGTAATTGCTGCTTGTAACCATCAGGGGGCAGTATCGCTAGATTGCAGTCTTGGAACCTGTAACGAGAATCACCCTTCATTATCATTAGAGTTACATTGCGCCACACAATATGAATATGATAAAGTCCTAGTATATGTACAAATGCTATGAAGTGAAGTTTTAAATAATACCGTTCGCCCAGTTAGTTTTATTTTTCTTTCACTGCTCGCTTGTTTTGATGACGTCAAAATCGCCTTTCCGCTTTCATTCGCGGCAGTAAACATGGCGGACAGTTAGCGAAGCCACGGTGTGATATTCAATCCTGGGGGTTTGGATTTCTCTTTCAGGACGTACGCAAAACGTGTTGCATTGCTTTTGGCACACGGAGGTGTGCGTGTGTGTAGGGCGTTGTGCCCTGTGAGTTTTTACTGAACAAAAGGTACAGTGAATTTTTCCCTCCTGTGCTGCTTTCGTTGCTAACGCGGGCCTAGCTATAAGTGCAAGCTAACGTTAGCCGCTAACCTGCCAGGCAAATGCTTTTGACCGGCATGATTTAACATATGTATGTATGTGTTACAAATGTTTGATTGGCTCTGTGGTGTTTATCAGCTCATTCAATAGTTTAATTGTGCAAAGAGCTTAGATAGTTTGACTCGTGCGTTGATTGTCAACTTTCTTATCTTCTTTGCTAATAATAGCTAACAGTAAAATTCTTTAAGGCGTGTATTGTAGATAGTTTGGTTAAACTGCCTTGATATCGAAGTTAGAATTAACAAAAAGGAGGCTGCAATTTGTCAAAAATGAATTCAAACATTGTTTAAAGTCTCAGTGATTCATAAATATGAGCTAAAAGTGTTATTTTTAGGTTGTGACAAAATCCGACTTATTCTTGAACGTACCACAAAATAACAACGTAAGGTTTCCTTTACAAGTCACTTCTCTTCTGTTTTGCTGTATTACATGGCAGCGTGAAGGAGACCTACCGTCACAATGGGGCGACGTTCAACCTCCTCCACCAAGAGTGGGAAGTTTATGAATCCCACCGACCAGGCCAGTAAGTGCTGATAACAAACTGGCGCTAATTCAATCATGAATTGATCTGCTGGATATTGCTCAGTTGCTGATTAGATATAAAAATGGTCATTTCTTCCCCCCCTTCTACAGGAAAGGAGGCCAGAAAAAGGGAGTTAAAAAAGGTTAGAACCATTCACTTAAAAAAAAAAGATATTTCTAAATATGCAATACAGGATAACAATACTGTGATAATATGATGGTAACATCGTTTTCATTTGGAAATATTAGAACAAGAAGCAGAGGATGATGGTGAGAGCAGCAGTCCTGAAGATGAAGGATCCCAGACAGATCATCAGAGACATGGAGAAGCTGGATGAGATGGGTGAGATGACAGGGCAGAGTTTATGCAATTTAGATGTTAGAGATATATTTAGTTGTAACTATTTAGTTGTATGTTTGCCACTTGTAGAGGACCTGAGCTTGTGGAACACATGTATCAGTAGATTAATGCTATATATAATTAGTGTGTGTATTTAAGTATTTCAGGCCTTTAGGTAACAGCAGAAAATCACAGTCAAAATCTGAATTCTACAATTAATTTGCTGCTTTTCTAATGAAAATAATTACTTTGTTTCTGAACAGAGTTCAACCCAGTTCAGCAGCCGTTGCTGAATGAGAAGGTGTTGCGGGACAAGAGGAAGAAGTTGCGTGAGACATTTGAGCGCATTGTTCGTCTGTACGAAAGAGAGAATCCTGAAACCTACAAAGAGCTACGCAAACTTGAACTGGACTATGAGACTAAAAGAGGGCAGCTGTCTCTTTATTTTGACTCAGTCAAGGTGTGTTGGAAACTACATGACAGTTTTGGGGGGCGGGGTTCCTCAGTTTATAATAATTCTTGCATAAATTGATGCAGGAATGAGAGGTATATTGTATGCACATTGTCCTCTTCTTGTTACACTATTTCTCCTTTGAACAGAGCCTTCCATTCCTGGATTTGAAAAGGACTCTGCAATGGATTTGGGGAGAGATCGGGACAGCGGGAGTGAGAGCGACAGAGATCAGGACGATATTGATGACGACAGCGACTCTGAAGACATCAGTGAAGAAGAGAGAGATGAAGGGGGAGATGGTGAACAGAGAATGCGCTTGGACAGGCAGGACGATGAGAGAGAACGAGAAGAAGATAGAGACAGAAGTGAAAGACATGGTGGTGAGTGTTTCTGACTGCTTCAACACATTTAAGCCTCAACTCACGTCTTTGTTGCCTTTATTTATCTCTTGATCTTATAACTGTTTCTATTCTGTTGTATTCCTGAATTTGTTATTATTTAACTACTGCAGGTCGTAGCGTACGTTTCGCAGATATGCCTGCAGAGGCACCCCGTGAAGGAAAAAGGAAGAAGAAGAGGGTTGTGAAGAAGACCAAGGCCATTACACCTCTGCAAGCCATGATGTTAAGGATGGCAGGTACTGTTAGTGCTAAGCACTTACTAAGCTAGTGCTCCTCACAGTGTCTTTTCTTTGTATGATGATATGCTATGCCATTTTTATTTGTTCATTTTTTGTCTTCAGGTCAGTCAGTTCCTGACGAGGAGGAAGAAGAAGAGGTAGAGGAAGAATACACAGATGAATCAGACAGCTCTGACATTGAGGACAGAGGCCCTCCAGGGGACAACCAGTCCCATCTCATGGCCAATCAGCGACTACCCCCTCCAGCTGGGACCACGGGACAGCAAGGGCCTCCACACATGCAAGGGCCACCGATGACAGGACCTCCACCACTTGGTCCACCTCCGGCACCACCAATGAGGCCTCCTGGTCCACCATCTGGCCCACCTCCTGGCCCCCCACCAGGTTCGCATTCTGATTAGCTAAAAGATTGATTGCTTCAACTCTGAAGTCATACTAGAATAATTTCCTGTGCCTGTTCTGTGGGGGTCTTCTACTTCTCTAAGTGTGAGTGCTCTGCATCGTTTTTTCAAAGAGATCTTCTGTTATCTTCAGGTGCTCCTCCGTTCTTGAGGCCTCCTGGCATGCCTGCAGGAATGAGGGCTCCAATGCCTCGGCTTCTGCCTCCTGGGCCTCCACCAGGTCGACCACCTGGTCCTCCACCAGGCCCCCCTCCTGGCCTTCCACCAGGCCCTCCACCACGTGGTCCACCTCCCAGATTACCACCCCCAGCACCACCAGGTAGGCACGTGTGTGGAGGCAATCTAAAGATATAAAATAGTGAGAACTTCTGTTGAATGCATTTCTCATTTATGTTTTTTTTTCTCCTTGTAGGTATCCCGCCTCCTCCCCCAAGAGCTGGAGGGCCTCCGCGTCCTCTTGCACCACCTCTGTCTCTCTTCCCTCCACCTCTCAATTCCAATGTGCTGAGTGCTCCTCCAAACATTGTTCAGCGACAAAAAGGCTCAGGATCCAGCCAGGACGGTTTACAGACCAACCTGCAACCCCCTGCCATGCCCATGCGACCTGGTGTCATGCAGATGCCCCCTCCGCCTGGGACAGCTGCTGCCTCCACAGGCACCAATCCGGGCAGCAATCCCCCCAGCCATCACCACCCTCCCACCATCGAAAAACGCGCAAACATCACCTCTGTCGCAGCTGCAGGAGGCAACCTGGCAGCAGGTGCCGGTGCAGGCGGGGCTACCATCTCTGCCAAACCTCAAATTATCAATCCCAAGGCAGAGGTGACCCGCTTTGTGCCCACAGCGCTGAGGGTGCGTAGGGACAAGGTTGGAACAATGCCAGGAGCAGCACCTGGGCCCATGGAGAAAGCAGGGGGTTCTGTTGGAGGAAGGAGGGGAGATGAAGGTGTGGGAGGAGGCCAGTGGCAGAAACAGCACAGCACAGCAACAGCTCCTATGGGCGTGGCCAATCCATCACAGATGGGTGCTGTGTCTCAGCCCAACATGAAGACTAAAGACCAGGTGTATGAAGCCTTTATGAGGGAGATGGAGGGACTCCTCTAAGACTCGGGAGCGTACTGCCGATAATGATGATCAGTGTGGCAAGCTGAACAACAGCAGTGTGTTTGTTTTGTGTTTTCTGTGCAGAGTTATAGAGGTAGCCGTCTTCAAACTTTCAGCTAGAATCAGTTTGTCTGTCACCTACCAGTGAAAGGCCACTACACCCTCAGCTTTGTTCTCTACAGGCTCATATTCATTTGATCTGGGTTAGATTTTTGTTGCATCAACAAGAATGTGCATTTCAAAAAGAGTAAGAAATCTGTTTATTTTACTGGGTAACTTGCATAGTCAATTCAAGAGAAGAACACTATGCTCTGCACAGAAGTGCTTTTTCACATCCAGCATATTGTTTTGTTTTTTTTGTCTTGTTTTTTAACTCTGAAATTGTTTTTCTTCCAACCACCTGTTTGCAACTTGACCTTAGAAGCAATCTTGTATTACTTTTTTCTGTTTTTTTTATTGCAGATCTCCTAACATAAAAATAGTTATAGAATGTTTTCCAACCACTGACAACAGTAAAAGTGTAAAACTGTTTGATCTTCAGCCAAATAAAAACTCAAAAAACTGGTTTAATCTTGTTTCAGTGTGAATCAATCCGCGACAGAAATTCCCATGTCGTATTTTTAGCCAATCACTGGCGTTTTCGGTCGTAAACACAAACTTCCATCATCCACTGCGGCTTAAGCTCGAACTCGTTTCCGCATCTGCGCAGTGCGGAACTGACGACACGTTGGGGCGAAAAGCATGGCGGACGAGGAGAGCGTGAAGCCAAAGACATACGAAACACTCGAAATTTCGAGCAGCGATGAAGGAAGCGATCACGGTGATGGCGGAGAAAACGACGAGACGGTGAAGAGCTTCAAGGATCTGGTAGGTTTGCTTCAGCGAGTGAAGGAAAAGAGTCAGGCACATTAACACGGAGAGACCACTGCTGTTCGAGTTAGCTACAACTCCGCTGTGTTATGTAAACCTCATTTTATCCTTTTAAATATGAATGGGATATGTCTGTGAGACATATACGGCGCTAGTACACAATTACGATCGTGTTACAAAGATTTCTACCTTTTGTCTGCTTCCGACAGGGTGTTACTGATGTCCTATGCGAGGCTTGTGATCAGCTGGGATGGAAGAGCCCCACGAAGATCCAGATAGAAGCTATACCGGTGGCTCTGCAAGGTGAGAAATCACGCTTACCTCTTTCTGTCAGTTTTACTCAAGTAACAGTACATGATCACACGGAACAACCATACGCACATTTTTGGACATCAGGAAAAATACAACCCTTCTGGAATAAAATTCTTTTCGCTCTGCGGGAAATATTTAGTTATGTAATTCCAACGATTGTTTCAGATCCTCTACTTGGATCATCTTAGAGGCCATTTGCGTCCATGCTGTTTAAGTCCCCTAAGGTTTTAAACAATGAGCTGTAGACAATGGGTGGTTGTTGTTGAGGAGATCCTTGTGATGGACAAACTCGCATACAGACAGAAAAAGAAAGAAGAAAACTTTCTACAAGACTGGGACAAATGTTTATTATACAAAGTGAAGAAAGGACATGAATAAATTGAATTATTAAAAGAGGCAGATTTACTCCGACACTACCAGCCCCTGAATGTTCAAATATTCATGAACTTGTTTTTATATGTTTTTGTATGGCTACTTTTCAGCTTTGTTTTGGCATTAGCATAGCCACCATTTGTGCATCATTGTACTAGACCATCAAAAAACAAGTTGAAGTAACAATGACAGCAAATATCCTGTTAATCAGAGATGATGGGCTAAATGCATGGCCCAGGGATTTGAAATCTGAAATCTCAGCAGAGGATTGGAAATCAGTTTGTGCTCAAATTCATACCGTGATTACACACCTCATATCTGTACGTGTAACATATGAAACTTCTCCATATTTCTCTGTGAATCATTACGATTTAACATGGACTGAAGCTAAAGGAGCAGCGCTTCAGTCTGAATCTCAGGACTTGTTTAAATCTCTAAAGGTTAAAGTGCGTAACATTTCTTGTCTCCTTGTGACCTGCAGGGAAGGATGTTATTGGCCTGGCGGAGACTGGTTCAGGAAAGACCGGTGCCTTCGCTCTGCCTATCCTCCAGTCGTTGCTGGCCTCCCCCCAGAGGCTTCACACACTTGTTCTCACCCCCACTAGAGAGTTGGCATTTCAGATCTCTGAGCAGTTTGAGGCCCTGGGCTCCAGTATCGGCGTTAAGTGCGATACGTGTCCTTGAAAGGTGAGGCGGCTTGCAGTAGTGCGGGAGGCTCTGTGCTCTAAATCCGTCTGTCTTCCGTTGCAGCCGTGATAGTTGGTGGAATCGACATGATGTCCCAGTCCCTGGTGTTAGCGAAAAAGCCGCACATCGTTATTGGTAAGACTTTACCTTTAAGAACGTTGCATATTTTTCACACTTCACACGTCTGCTTATGTTCACCCACTGTTGTAATGTTTGTATCCTTTATAAACTGATTTTGATGATATACTTTTAAGTAAAAAAATCGTTTTGTTTTTTTCCAGCCACGCCCGGTCGTTTGATCGATCACCTCGAGAACACAAAGGGCTTCTCTCTACGAGCGCTGAAGTTCCTGGTCATGGATGAAGCAGACAGAATCCTCAACATGGACTTCGAAACTGAGGTCAGTAGCTTCCTATTGGTAGGAGACTCACTATAGCACCTCAGCCACATCCTCCTCAGTGTGCTGTTAAATGGCAGGCTCAAAGGTTATTGATGAAAGCATTTTAAAGTGAATGTGACAACCTTTATGGCAGTTTAAATCCAAAAAGTGAAATTTACCTAAACTTCGCATTACTGGCCGTAAGCTGGTAAAAACCCAAGTTGACGTATATTTTTTTTGGTTGACAGTGGAGCATTTTGAAAGATTACAAATAGCTGATAGGCTGAGCTTTAAATTAAAAACCTGCTGGCTACGGGCTCCACACCTCCAACGCCTCAGGCTAGATTTGCGCCTGTGACGTGTCCATTTGTGAAGCTCTTTGCCTATAAACAGAGAAGGTTTTCGAGAATTTAACCTGTACAAATTTCAATAAGCATGTAGCTGATGTAAACTGTCATTTTTATACCTATTATTATTTATTTTTTTACCAGGTGGATAAAATCTTGAAGGTGATCCCAAGAGAAAGACGCACTTTCTTGTTCTCGGCTACCATGACCAAAAAGGTATCTTTGTGTTCTTCTCTCTTTGTCGACTCTAGATGACGGAGAATGTTAGTCGCGTTTCTTTTAGCCGTCTTTGTCCTGCACATTATGGGGGACAGTAATAAGCAGCTGCCAGAGTAGCCTTTGCCTGACCTTCTGTCATATGTTTACAGGTCCAGAAACTAGAGAGAGCAGCTTTGAAAGATCCTGTGAAGTGCGCGGTGTCTACGAAATACTCCACAGTAGACAAACTGCAGCAGTACTACATCTTTATACCATCTAAGTACAAGGTAGGGTGCACACGTGTACATGTGCTGACAGTTGTGTTTGTGACCTGCTGAAGCTGTTTTATATTCAGTAAGTTTAGCTCTTGGTTTTGCCAACAGGACTGCTACCTGGTTTCCATCCTGAACGAGCTGGCCGGGAACTCCTTTATTATTTTCTGCAGCACGTGTAACACAGCCCAGCGGGTGGCGCTGTTGTTGAGGAACCTCGGCATCACTGCTATCCCTCTACATGGGCAGATGAGTCAGGTAAAGCTTCAGAGACTCGGTTGAGTATAAGGATTTAACCTGAGATGTTAGCATTCATTATAGTGCCTGCTGCTCTGTCAGCATTACCTACGCATACTATAAAACCCTGTAAACAGTTTGGTTTACGATCACACTTGCAACACATGCTAAAGTCATGCTTAATTAACTTTACATGCAAGTTAGTGTACTTTTTGTACCATTTGGAAACATCTGGAAGTCATTGTCATGGTCTGCAGTTTACCATAAGCAGTCTACAATCAAATCTACATTCAAATCAGGCTGCAGTTCACTTAAATGTTTGAATAGAGCTCTTTGCACCATCTAAGATGCTGTTTTTGTAGACCAAGAAAAATTTCTTTCACTCATGAATGAAAGTGAATGTTGACCAGCTTTGGTCCCGTTTGGCTGGATGTCAGCCCTCTTTCTGGTTTTGTGGCATTACAGCAAATGTGACCTAATGTATGATATGAGTTGTGTGTAAATATGCACACAGACATTTATCAAATGGAGTTTTTAGGGAAGTGAAAGTTTTCCCTTTTTCTTTCTGGTGGATACTGTGATGTGATCTGGATCTTCCTTCCTTCGCCGTGCAGAATAAACGTCTTGGAGCTCTGAACAAGTTCAAGTCCAAGTCTCGGTCGGTGCTGCTGGCGACTGACGTGGCATCCAGAGGACTGGATATTCCTCATGTCGACTGCGTCATCAACTATGACATTCCCACTCACTCTAAGGTACCGAGGCGCTGATAATCATGTTGGTGGTGCGTTTGATGATTTATTTCACTTCACCGATGAGCTGATCTGTGGATGTGTTTGATCCTACAGGACTATATTCACAGGGTTGGCCGAACAGCCAGAGCAGGACGATCTGGAAAATCCATCACTTTCGTCACTCAGTAAGAAGGGCCTTTTTATTGTCACCAGTCATTCCATATACAATAACATCTCTGCTTTGTTTCCACTTATTGCCATTTTTATACCATTTTGACATGGTTGAGTAAGTTGTGCAATACTGTGGTTTGGAGAGGAAGGTCACTGCAGCAAGTAAATGTGTCTGGTGTCCATATAACCATAGGTATGATGTGGAGCTTTTCCAGCGAATTGAAAGCTTGATTGGGAAGAAACTTCCAGCCTTTCCAACCCAAGAGGAGGAAGTGATGATGCTGGTGGAGAGGGTGAGCGAGGCCCAGAGATTTGCCAAAATAGTAAGTCATCCTGTCTTTATTGTGTCTTTTCTCTGTATTTGTCAGGTATAGCCTAAAATTTGAAGAAGAAAAAAACATGCTGTGTGAAAACAATGGTGCATAAACCCGTCTGAGCCTGCCTGGCCAATGCATCAGTATTTAGTGGTATGTTTCTACATGAGGTGATTTGAGCTTTGTGACACAGTGTGTTATCCTCTTGAAATCAGCCATCAGAAGATGGATACAGCGTGGTCATAAACAGATGGACATGATCAGACAGGCTGTGGTGTATGAACAGTAAACAGTTGGTGCTAAGGATCCCAAACTGTGCTGGAAAAATATCCCCAAAACCATTACACCACCAGCAACCTGAGCTGTTGATAAAATGTCGTTTATGCCAACTGTTACCATCCTATCCAATTGTGGCAGCAGAAATCAACACTCATCACACAAGGCAATATTTTTCCAATCTTCTGTTGTCCTTCTGTTTCATGAGACCATGCAGCTTCTAGCTTCAGTTCCTTGTTTTTAGCTGACCGGAGCAGCACTCTGTGTGGTCTTCTGCTGCCGCAGGTCATCTGCTTCAAGTTTCGAAGCAGATGACCAGAGAACTGACCACACTGGATATTTGCATTAACAGGCAGGTGTAGGTGGTAAAGTTGTTGGGGAGTGTAATGATTTAAATGTAACCA